TCAGGAGGACAAGGAGAATAAAACTTATGTGAAAATTGACCCACGTGTTCCTGTTTCATAATCTCATCACCACTCCATCAGTGTGTGCACAAACTGGAGACGGCAGTGTCCTGGGGCGATGCAGGAATGCATTCCTTTCACCCAGAAACACAGCATGCATTTTAATCTTCCCTTGCCACTAAGTGCTTGTTGAGCTTGGCTTTCCCTGCTCTCATCTAGATTCAGAATTACGCAACAGAAGTGGCGTGAGCAAGAAAACAATCAGAGAATAATAGAACATTGGGAGTTGGAAGGAGCCCACAAGGATCATCAAGTCCAACACCTGGCTTTTGCACAGGACCACCCAAAAATCAGACTGTGTATCTGAGAGATATGTCCAAACCTTTCTGGAGCTTGGAAAGGATCTTGAGGTGACTCTATGGGTTGATCCTCTGGTCCTGGTCTCCCCATGTGCCATGGGTTTTCTTGCTGATAGGAACCATAGAATCACAGAATGGCCTGGGTTGCAAAGGACCACGATGCTCATCCAGTTCCAACCCCCTGCTGTGTGCAGGGTCACCAACCAGCAGACCAGGCTGCCCAGAGCCACATCCAGCCTGGCCTTGAATGCCTGCAGGGATGGGGCATCCACAGCCTCCTTGGGCAACCTGTTCCAGTGCATCATGAAAAACTTCCTCCTAATATCTAACCTAAACTTCCTCTGTCTCAGTTTAAGACCATTCCCTCATGTCCTATCACTATCTGCTCTCATAGACACAGGCGGGCTACAATGACCAGGTAGCTGCTGAGAGAGCAGAAAGTAGTCAGTAATTCTGAGCCCTCAGCTTCTCTGTGAATCAGAAAGTTGTGTTTTGATCAATCAAATGCAGATGGGCTGCAGGGGTGAGGCTGCAGCTTGTTAGGGCAGCCAGCTGAGAGGCTATCGATCGCAGCCAGTAGAGGCTAATGGTGGCATATGAGGGCTGGTAGGGCAGACTGTAGGAGAGCTGAGATGTCAGTGGGAAGCTGGGAATGAGGCAAAGTGGGTCTGTTAGCAAGTAGGTTGCCTTGGGGGATGGCAGAGCAGCTTCCATGCTTAAATCAGGATAGGCTGTAAGGTCTGGCAGCCTACCTGAGAGATAGCTGAGCCTCCTCCTACCTGCTCCAGAGCCTGTTGTGGAGATAGGGTTGGTTCTAAGCTGCTGTTATCCTCAGGGAGAACTGGGCATCCCAGGCAATGGACTCTCAGGTCAGGTTCTCCATTGTGTGACGTTGGCTTGGCAGCTCTTTGGAGCAAGGTTTCATGTGTCTGAAGATGTGATTTGACCCTGGATAAGGGGAAATGATACATGACAGTGTTCTTCTGAATGCAAACAAACCATCGTCATTAGCAGAGCGGGCTGTCTGTCAGGATGATCCATTCATCCTGACTTGATGTTCTCTGCTTTTTTGGTTTTTGTTGTTGTTGTTGTTGGTTTTTTTTGCTGATGGAGGAGTACTTTTCAATACTTGTGATTGCTTCCTAGTTTTATGGTTTTCTGGCAGCTGGTGATCTCTGTGCAAAATCAACACTTTTTTTTTTTAATGTACCAGTGTAAATTACTGATTAGTCCACTGAATTTGGTAAAGGGATTATTACTAGATAGCAGAAAAATGAAACCGACTGAGAAAAGCTTACTGGAACGTGTTGGATGGGTTATTGCATTTACAGACTCACTTGCAGGAAGAGGAGGAGTTGATAAGGGAAGGAATCTTAAAATCGTAGTGACTCTTAAAAGGCTGTGGGGGAAGTTAACAGCTATCTGCCATGCAGGTTTTAAAGCTCATGTTCTACACCTGATGGAACCAACAGGATGGCTTAGGAGAGATTTCTTGAGCACAGCTGCACTGGTTTTGTCACTTATGATGAAAGGTATGCTCCATTTTGCACAATGGCTCTTAGGAATCTATGGAGTATCTCTTCTTCTAGCAGCGTACTGTTGTGCAAGAGATTCTTAAGCAGTTTTAAGTTGCTGTGTTCCAAAATGGGGAGAAAAATCCTTGGTTGATACGTGTTCATATCAAATTCCTTGTTAGCTTTTGTGCAGTGTCTTCCAGAGCACTGGGCTCCTCCTTATGTGAGCTGTGGGCATGCACGCTTGTCACTCCTTGCTTTGCAGCTTGATGAGTGCATGCTCAGGAAAGCTTTTTTTTCCTCCTCTTGGCTCATGCCATTAAGGTCATTTGTGAGATAAACCTGGGCCCTGGTTATACACATTTGCAGAAAGCCTGTCCCTGTTGCATGCTTGTAAAGATAGGATTGTAAGCTTGAATGGCTTCTTTTTGACTACACCTGTGTGTTGCATGGTTCAGATGAGCAGAAGATGCCATATGAATTGGGAATGTCTCAAGTGTCCCCAAAATCTAACAATTCTAGTGCTTGATTTAGTGGTTGCCAGCCCTGTATGCAGCAAGGGATTGGAGCTACGTGATCTTTGGGATCCCTTCCAACACAAGCCATTCTATGACTATGATAATCCAAGGAAATCTTTGATATTTTAACCACTCATTGAGTTTGAATCTCTCTTGGCCAAGCCTGCAGGCTGTTTGACCAAGCTATCCGCGTGCCTACGCTTGTATTCTCCCAGCTAAAACAATCTCATTTGCTTTGCTGTTGTTTTTAATGCTACCCCAGCCCTGGCCTCTAAGCTTTTTGAAAATAACATTTACAATAATATTTTTAACAGTTCCGTAGTATACAAAACTCCAGCGCCCTGGCAGGACTCCCGGAAACTTGCTGAAAGTTAATGTGGTCAACTCTTAAAAAGGAGAGATTTTTTCCGCTTGACTCTTGCTTGTTAAACGCTGTGAGCCCAACATGTTGTTCCCTGCTGCTTGAAAAAAACAAGGAAAGTCCCAATTTTAGCAATGCTAGTTTGAGTAGCTTTCCAGCTGAGCCGCATTTCAGGGGCAACTGTGGCTTGTTATTATTGTTTTACAGTGATGTGTCCATACACCTTCAAACCAACACATGATGTGGTGCTCAGGCTGGGAGTAGGTACTGCTTTCCCTGGGAGCCTCATTTGGGTACTCATACTCTGTGCCCATGTAGCTGCAGTGATGTTGAGCCACTTGAGCTGTAGAAACAAATTCAGCTCAATCAAATCAAAGTTGCTTTTATTCCAGGTCACAGAATTGCAGGGGTTGTAAGGGATCTCAAGAGACCATTGAATCCATTGCCCTACCAAAGCAAGTCCCCTACAATAGGTTACACAGGTAGGCGTCCAGATGGGTCTTGAATATCCCTATAGAAAGAGATTCCACAGCCTCTAGGTGAGAGCATCTGTTTGAAGGTTTCCCCTGGCAGTTTCCCAAGCAGATTGGAGCAGCCCGAGTCTCTTGCATGCACAGCTCGTACCTGGAATGTGAGCACTGCATTGCCCCAGCATCCCTGGGAGCTGATTGCTAAGCACAGAATCGTAGAATGGCTTGGGTATGAAGGGACCTTGATAGTGTTGGGTTGGAAGGAACCATCTAGTTTCACCCCCTGCTGTGAGCTGGTTGCCCCCTACCAGATCAGGCTGCCCAGGGCCCCTCCGACCCGGCTTTCAGCACATGGAGGTCAGAGATCTTGGTGGGAGGAGAGGTGGGATGCTGCTTCAAAGTGCTTCCGAGCAGAAAAAGGATTTTTCCTTTCCTCCCGCTTCCCTGTTTTCGAAAGGAGATCGTAAAAAGGCAGAATTTATACTAGAAACAGGAATGTGTCCTTCTGTAGCAGGAAGCTGCTGGTGTGCATTTTTGCAAAGCCACGGAAATCAACAGTGTTTGCAGACCGATGTGAAGGCTGGCTGTCCTCAGGATTTAGGAGATCTGAGACAACAGAAAACATTTTTATCTCATGTATCTGTGAGATTTCCTGCGCTGAGTGAGCTGTGTGCTCAGTGGGGTCTCTGGCGCTCGCTGGAGCAGTGATGATGAAGAAGAGCACACAGCTCAGCCCATGGGAAATTCATCTGTCTTTCCAATGTTTGTTTGCCTGGTTTCTGTAGGTGTGTGCTTTTGTGATAGAATCGGATTGCAAAGGTCTGAAAGTTCTCCAAAAAGCCATTAGAAAAATCTGACCATGCTACTGATGGCGGAGTTAAACTGGGCTGGCTTGGAATGTAGGGTTAAATCCAGGCTATCTGCACGTGGCCCCAGAGCAAACCCTGAGTGCAGCTCAATTGCTGGAAGTGTTGCATCAATTTTGGAAGCAAAAGCAGTGAGGATTTGAGCTGTTTCCTGTTCTTGTTACAATCAGCCGGAGTTTTTACATTGATTTTTGGTGCACTTCTGTTCTCTCAGTCCACTTTGGCATGAACTATCCTCCTCAAGATAAGACCTTAAACCCATCTGAGCCCATTACTTTCTTCCTTGCCTCATCCTTGTCTTGGAAATAGGCAGAGTAGAGCTCAGTGTGAGCGGTGCTGTCTCAGAGGAAGCTGCAGCAGCAAAAGGAGCAATGTTCTCTGTGACGTTCACTTCTCTGCCTTCACCACTGTCTTATCGCTTTCCCTTCCTGCTTGTCTCTCTCAAAATAGGTTGGATAAATATCCTCCTGCTTGCCAGCACTGAGGCACCGTGGTTGCAGAAGACCCTTTCAATCCCTGCCTGCAGCCATTCCTTCAGAGTGAACTTCTCACATTTGTTATTTGCATGTTGTGCCTTCATTCAGACTGAAGTGAGTTTTTCCACTGGTGTAAATAGGAGCTGGTGTCCTCTTACACAAGGAGACTTGTAGCAGAAGTTTAAGCTCGTTACTCCAAGATTAGTTATGTATATGTATGTATTTTGGAAAGGGTAGCAGGTTTGTAGTCTCCTCAGTGCATAACCTTTGGGCTGTGCAGAGGAGGATGGGCTCCAGGTCTCAATTCCTTGCCCCTTCTTCCTCCAGCCCAGAGGATGATGGGGAGGTGCTGTGTGAAGAATGGCTGTCTTCAGTCTCTGTCCCGTTTGCTGTGCCAAAATCCATCTGTAAACTCTGTGTATGTTTGTTGTTACAGGGTGGATGCTTGAAAGTGGAGGATAAGGTACAAGTGCCTGGGACCGGTGGAATGGAGGCCTGATGTAGATGGAAAGATGGGTAAGAACTGGATTCCCCTGAAGCACTTAATTCTCTGCAGCCTGTTAATTTTGGGTCTACTCTTGACAGTAGAGTGGGAGACATTGCCAAGATGGCCTACTTAAATATCACAGAATGTTTTCTTTACTTTTTTTTTTCTGCTTTCCAGTGGTGCTGAAATGGGATAAATTCTCTTCTTACCACCAATGTAGTCAGTGGGTTGTGTTCTAGGTGGAGCCTCTTGCCAAGTCTGCCTTGTATTCTAGGCACAGCACCTTCACTCTGTATTTCTTCACCCAAGGAAGCTTCATTCAAATAGTGGTGGTAGGTGGATGGTTGGACTGTGTATCTTGGAGGTCTTTTCTGACCTTGATAATTCTGAGATTCGCTTTCAAGTGGAGCCTGGTGATATTTGCACCTTCCTGTGATGCTGAGGGAGAGTTATTTCTTCATTTAGATGAAGAGTATTTGTAGCTCTGGAGAAACACAGTGATTCAAATCTTACTGCAGTTGCCAAAGACAGTTTGTTTTAACAGACATAGGGAAGTGCTGAACTGTTCCTGTTTTAGCATGTGAGTAATTGGATGGGAGGTATTGACCCATACTAGCAGGTGATACCTTACCTGGTGTAGGGAACCTGCTTTGGCAGGGGGGTTGGACTTGATGATCTCTGGAGGTCCTTTCCAACCCCTGTGATCCTGTGATAAGTGGCAAGGGCCCCAGCTCCTTCAGCTTCTTATGCTGTTGGCCATCCAGCTTCACCATGTTACTCTTACTCTTCCCAATCCTAGGAGTTAATTGCTGCTTAAATGGCTTTGTTGGTGACACATGCCTTACTGAGAGCTGTATGCTTCTAGTTTTGGGATTCAGCTGGAATCTTATGCATTTTTGAGTGTGACACTGCTCTCTGCAGAATAAATATTGACCTCAAAACTACTTCCAAAGTGGTCTGTACACCATTTTGCCAGCAAGTGGTAGAAATCCCTACCAATTGTAGGGATTTCTGCTTAATTTCTTTAGTTTTGAAAAAAGGATGGTGGCTGAAGGATAACAGCAGGTTCTGCCTCACGTAACTGTTAGAACGTAATTAAAACATGGAGCTTGGATGGCTTCCTGACCTGTTGGCCCTCAGAGAAGGAGAAAGCAAAGATCTCAGAGGAATCTTTATGTTGGTTGGCACTTCACTTTCACGTTTGCATAATTTATAGGCATTCGTCCAAAATGTTTGAGGGCGTATTGAAATAGTGGGGAGGAAGAGAAAAGAAAGGGAGGGGGGGCAATCCCAGTGAATTTAGCCCTTGTCTCTATAGAGCTGGTGGGAGAATGATACGCAGTTTGGTAGTGATTTCAATTTACAAACTGGAAAACGTGAAGCCACAGCTAAGCTGTTTGTCCTCCTAATGGAGAAAGGAGGACAGGAGGTTTTCCCTCATCCTGCCCTCACCTTCCTGTGTTCAGTTGTTTGTTTGTTTTCTTGTTTTAACTCTCTACTAACTGGAAGAGAGATTTGGGGGTAAAAGAACTCATCTAAAGTCAAGTAAAGAAGGGAGAAAAAAAAAAAAAAGATAGGGAAGAGAAAGTCCAGACCTGGTTCTGGATATAAAGAATGACAAATTTCACTTTAAAATCCCTGATGAAAAACCCCAGAACTTTCTAGGAGAAATTTTCATTTTGAAGATGAAAACCACTTCAATTCAATGCAATTTTATTTCAAAAAGAAGGAAAGCTAAGCCTTTCTCCCAGGACAGCCAGAGTTGCTTTACAGAGGTCAGTCTGAGTTTTGTGTAGACTTGCAATTCTGCTTATTCAGATAACAGCAGTAGGTAACAGCAGGGCAAGGGGAAATGGTTTTAAGTTGAGGGAGAGAAGATTTAGGTTGGATGTCAGGGGAAGTTCTTTACAGAGAGAATGGTGAGGTGCTGGAACAGCTGCCCAGAGAGGCTGTGGATGCCCCGTCCATCCCTGGAGGTGTTCAAGGCCAGGTTGGATGGGGCCCTGGGCAGCCTGGGCTGGTATTGAATGTGGAGGTTGGTGGCCCTGCGTGTGGCAGGGAGTTGGAGATTCCTGATCCTTGAGGTCCCTTCCAACCCTGGCCGTTCTATGATTCTGTGATTATTCCTGTGCATGGACAGAAGGTGCTGTGCCTGTCCCCTCCCAAAAGTCATTGCTTGGAGCTCATCACCACTGACACCCCACCCCATGTACATGTGCTTGTTTCCCCCATGTATTGAGATGTGGAAACGTTTGCAAGGGACAAGCAGAGAATTTGCAGTCATTTCATTGATTCCCTTCTGGTGAACCACAGAGAGGGTGTGTTGGACAAACTGATCTCTAGAGGTCCCTTCCAGATCTGCCTTTCTTCCCAGGATCCTATTTTTAGTGTGCCCAATGTCTCAGAGTTCAGTGTGGCACCGTTCCTGGACGCGTTGTAGGGAAGCTGTGTGATCTTGCACAGAGACCACAAGATGGGAAGTGGGGACTTGTGGCACCTCTGTGGGCAGCACCTCTGACATAGCAGCCAGCACCAGAGCTCAGTGCTGCCCACAAGTTGCTTTGCTCTTGCAGGACCAACACAGCATGCCTGCATGTGCCAGCTTAGGGCTAGCCCAGGGGTCCTTGGAACTGTGGGCTCTGTTGTGCAGATATGGCCATAACCACATCTCTGAGCACCTATACCTATTCCCTTCTGTCTGTGAAGGACCTGGAGGTCTTTGTGTAGGATAGGACACAGGGCTCATGTTCTGAGGGAAGAGGAATTGAATGCAGCCTAAGAGCTTGGGGCAGAATTATTTTCATTTTTCGTCATGCTTTGGTGTTGGAACAATTACTTGGGCTCCTGTTCAGTATTGCCCCAGGGCAAATATGTAACTTGTATTTATACTGAAGCATTCGACTTTTTCTTTCTACAAAAAAATAGGGCAGTGAGAACTTCAGGGTAGCTTGTAGCTGGAAATGGCTTTTGAAGGAGAAAGTGATTTGTATGGGGAGATACATGGTCACAGTATAGGTGTGGAGAAGCTGAATGTGTGCTTCCCAAGTGCATCACATCTTAGGTCTAGAGATGCAGCAGTTTGAAAAGACTGAGCGTAGATCCAGGAGAGACTCCTTCATGGAGATGACGCCCTCACTGGGTGCTGATCTTCCAAAATTGTGCAGTATCCTGCATTTGGATACTGCAATTCCTGCTGGTTGGAGGAATAATGAAGTTGTTTTTAACGTGATTGTTGGGTTGCCACATGCCTCTTATTTTGATTTCCTCAACCTCATTAATGGGAGAAAATCGGAGTGCAGAACACGTGTCCCAGTGTCTCACCTCTCACTCCTGGCACAGAGCTCACGCTCCATTTCCATCTGTCACCCCTCCATGTGGGTTCATGGCCTCTTCATCGTTTGATCAAAATTGGGCTGGGAACCAACGAGTGAATATGACACTTCCAGAAATATCCACGCTATGCAGTGCAGTGAGAGGAGCATAGCTAATGGCAGTTAAGAAATGCTGTGCTGAAACATGGCAGCGTGGTAAATTGCAGAAATTCACAGAATCGTAGAATGGCCTGGGTTACAAAGGACCACAATGCTCATCCAGTTCCAACCCCTGCTGTGTGCAGGGTCACCAACCAGCAGCCCAGGCTGCCCAGAGCCACATCCAGCCTGGCCTTGAATGCCTGCAGGGATGGGGCATCCACAGCCTCCTTGGGCAACCTGTGCCAGTGCCTCACCACCCTCTGAGAGAAAAACTTCCTCCTAATATCCAACCTAAACCTCCCCTCTTTCAACTTAAAACCATTCCCCCTTGTCCTATCGCTATCTACCCTCATAAACAGCCATTTCCCCTGGTTTATATGCTCCCTTTGAGTACTGGAAGGCCACAATGAGGTCTCCCTGGGGTCTTCTCCAAGCTAAAAAAGTCCAGTTCCCTCAACCTTGCTTCATAGGACTGCTCCAGCCCTCTGGTCATTTTAGTGGCCCTTTTCTGGACCTGTTACAAGAGCTCTGTATTTTTCTTTTGCTTATTACCCAACTTCTTTCTTTTTGAAAATCAGGTTGAATTGCAGCAGTTTGGGCGCATTATTTTCTAGAGATGTCCAAGTTCAGATCCTTCTCCCTTTCCTAGTGATGTTGTGCCCTGGAGCCGTTTCAGGTCATGCCAGTCTCTTTGGGATCCTGGGGAGTAGAGGTTCAGCCCCCACGTTGCTGTAATTGAGATGCTGCAGCCATTGCTGCAGCAGCAACAGATGAGGAGTTCACAGGTTCAGGGCTGTGACTCTGAGCACTGGAAGTAGCTGAGCTGGGACAGAGAAAGAGGTCTTTATGAGCCTGCAAATAACCTTCACAAGTATCAGAGGCCGTCAGGGGAAATAACTTGCCAACCATGTTTCTTACTGGATAAATGTTTTCTTCCTTTCAAGTGCACTCAAGAGATGTACAGGTTGTGGGGAGAGGTGATATCTTTTATTAGACCAAACTGATAGAGGTGGAAAAAAACAGGCTGGCTTTTAGGTACGTAAGCCCTTCTTCAGAAGCGGCAGAATTTAAGCGAAGCTGGAAAAATGGCTGGAAAAACTGCTCTAGGTTCAGTTTAATTATGTTAATCCATGACAGGAAAAGGTAAGTAGTGTCTTTGGAGCCAAGGGAGTGGGTTAGCAAAAAAAGCTGTGAAAGGCAGTTGTGGATGGAGGGAGAGAAAGCAGGACCTTTGAAGTGGTGAGGAGTTCTGCAGGCAGATGCTAAAGGAGAAAATGCATCATACCATAAAACCAGACAGCTCCCGAATTTTCTTTTTTCCTCTCAGTGGAACTGTGGGCTTAAAAGAATTTCTGAAAATGTGGTTATTTTGGTTTTGTAACTGTTGAGTCCTTGCTTGCATGTCTCCTAGAAGCCTCGTGAGAGTAATCTGCGATAACAAATGAGGGTCAGTCGGTTTGTCCAAGAGGCAGAGATTTAGCGTGGTTTATCTCAAAGCAGCTCTGTGCCTTTACAGGAAAGCCCTAAATCTTGCTGCTGCATTCCTGTCCCTTCCT